AATCTGGACACATCTTCAACAATTTGGAAACTTCTCAGTGCATATCTGAGTTCATCACTTGCAAGTTTTGCTCCACACGAAACTGTTAGTCACAATAAAGCTTAATTTCCCGTGACTCTATAACCAAGGTGTCTCATCTCATTCCTCAATGGCAACACCTTTGGTGTTCCTATCTGTGCCAATAGTCAATTCAAGGCAATCTAGGCTTTTTCCTCTCATGTTTCTTAAAATTCTTCCAGTTTCTGCTTCTTGCCCATTTCCAATATTCCTTACACATTTTTAAGAATTTGTTATGGCAGTACCCTTATGTCAGGGTACCAAAATCTGTACTGACTTCCCATTACTCCTTTAACAAACTACCAAAAATTTAGTGACTTCAAACACCACAAGTTTATGACCTTCTATTTAGAGATGCCACATAGGTAGAATCAGTGTGTCACAACCATGATCAAGGGATCAGCAGGACTGTACCTCATKCAGGCTCAGGGAAGAATTGGATTTTGCCTTCTGCAGCTTTCAGAGGCTGCATCCCTGCATTTTTGGGCTCATGGTCCTATCTAGTAATGGAATCATTCTGTCCTGACCCCTGCTGTTGATGTCACAACTCCTTCTCTGTCTTTGACTTTCTGTCTCCTTCTTCTATTTTCTAAAGATACTCAGGGTTACATTGGGCCCACTGGGTAGTCAAGAATAATCTCTTCATCCTAAGGTCAATTTTATCACATCTGAAAATCCCTTTTTTTTCACGTAAGGTGACGTATTCACTTGTTCTGAGGATTAGGATATTGACATTGTGGAGTTGGGAAGGATTATGGAGTGAGGACCTTGTCTACTACAAGTTCCTCAGAGGAACTTAATGAAAATGCCAAGATTTCTCCTAAATTAGCACTCTGACTGAAGCTCATGCTTTTCTACAGCCTGGGRGGAGGGTTTCTCCTAGCAGTGCTTCCTTGAGATTCCATGAGGTCTCAATCCTGTCAGCCCCAGCAAATGTCTCCTTCAATCTGATGGGCTGGTGGGCTCACCTCTGAATTTATCATCATAATCAGAAGGACAGGCTAAAGTGACTTGGGACCTACTTCTCAACTTTGTGGTTGAAAATGTGGAGGGGTAGTACTCTTACCGCAAACTACCACCAAAACGAAGAAAAAGGTATTCAGAGCCAAAAAAAGCAACCAGCCAACCGGAAATCAAAATCAAACCAAGGTCAACTAAAACACATCCTTCATCTCATGAATATAAATTAGCCAAAGACAATGACTATATCATACCTAAATTCACATGTGCTACATGGACAGTACATAAATCAATTGTCTAACATAATAGCTATTTAAAAATAAATGAATGACTGGTAGATTATCACATTGCCCTGTTCACATAGTTTGACATTCAGTAAAATTCATAGCTTAACATRTACCATTGACTACATGTTATTACTTTTGCCAATAAATTCCTAAAATATCTTTTTGAAGGTATCCAAAGTCAGTTGACAATATTGGCAGAGCACAAATAGATAAATATCATTAATTTTCTGAATTAAGGTAGAACAAGAAATATAGTTCCAAAGTGGGATCTCTAAAATGAATTACACACTTTTAATTTGGCTAATCTTAGGTTAATCTCAGGAAAACAAAACAAAACACTTTTCCTGATACCTCCCTCCACACCCACACAGAAACACATATAATTTAGGATATATGTGATTTGAATAAATGAAAGTATTGATGAATTTGTCTTCAGAACTCAAAACCRTGTCTGAATCCCCTATGTTTTTCCACCATATTAAATCACCAAAGGGGGCTCTAAACTGTCTTGGGTTATAGAAAGACCATCAATTACACTAAACTATTTTCTGTGACTCCCATTCCTTTCCTCTTCYTAGCTTATATTTTGGTTTACTTTTTCCCTGATGAGAAAGCCAGGTGGGAAGTGGGTCTGACACCTCTGAGAGGAGGGATAAGGAAGTGCTGTGTCTCCCCAGAATAAACTCCTGAGATTTGAGTCAAAAATATTAAGGTTGTTTCCAAGAGAAGACTCCAAAATCAAGCTGAAGTCATCTGAGGTGGAGGAAGAGTTCTGGGTAGGAGCATAAAAGCAATGGTGGTCAGTTCTGGGTAGGAGCATAAAAGCAACGGTAGTCATTTACTCTCAGTTTTAGAATCACGTGAGCATCTAAGACAAAGAGTATTCAATGGATATTTTCTAGAAGATCATTGTCCAGTGGACTGATGGTCTGCATTACTCTGGGTACATCAGTTAAGGTCCATAGTGAAGAGTAATTTGTTAGCAAAATAATTCATGGTATGAAGCTGAACAGGGTACCTTTAAAGAGATGTGAGTGACATGGGACACTTTTGGTTCCTATCTTCCCACTTTTTGAGGGCATCTTTTTTACTGATGTGGGAAAGAATGGACTTTATTGTTCTCTCAGGAAGATTGCAGTTCTTCTCACATCCTTACCCTCTTATCTAATGGTTCTTTACAGTTTCAGCAGGGGACAGGTTTGAACTCATTTTGCTCATCTGAGGAAAGCTAAAGATTCCCAAACTCACCTCAGGGAGGTGAGTAAGGGCATGTGCCCAGAGCCAATCATTTTTCATAAAATTTCTGAATGTTCACAAACTCCCGGAAGGTTTTTAGCAGGGATCTCCTAGAAAGTTCAGTGGACTCAGTTAAAACACTTTGCACCTYCAGAGACCTCCATATACTCAGGTAATAGAAACTTGGGTGTTTTGAGAAATTTTKGGTCAACAGAGAGTATCATTGCACTCCAAAGAACCTAAGYTCCAGGCTGGSGATGTRACTCAGTGGTAGAGAGTCTGCCTGGCAAGCAGGAAGCTCTTAGTTCCATTCCTAGCACTGCAAAACAAACCAAAAGCAACCACAAAACAAGTATATATCCTTCTTCAGAAAGTTCTGGCTTAAAGGGCACATCTTATTTTTACTTTTCCATAGCAGGAAGAAATGGACAGGACTCAGGATTGGAAACACTCCTGTCCAGTTTTAATGTCATGGGAATTTTCCTGGTGGTAATTTGATCCATATTGTTAATTCCCGCCCCCTCTCCTTTCTAAATAGATGTTTACATTTTATCCTCTCACCCCCTGGTGAATTTGAGAGAATGACAAGAAAGTGTGCCCAGAAGAGAGAAAAATGAATAATGTAACACAATGAGGAATGAGAAAAGTTCAGCTGAACATCTTCAAAAAAAAAAATTAACCAAAATGGCGCATCTCTTCATCATCCTTTCTGCCCAAATTAATTGGTTTCCAAGTTTGCCAGTTCAACAAAAATATATGTCATGTGTGTTATCCAAGTTTCACCCTAGCATGTGTGAGGAGTGCAAAGATGAAAGACATACAACCTCTCTGCTCAAAGACACTGGAGATCTCCCAGTAGAGACAAGATATAAAAGTAACTCAAAACAATTTCCTGAAAGTTCTTTCCTGTTCACACCCTGCACTCACTCTCTCTCTCCTCTCTCTCTCTCTCTCTCTCTCTCTCTCTCTCTCTCTGTGTGTGTGTGTGTGTGTGTGTGTATGCACACTTCACTCCATGTCCAGGGACTAAAGAAGTGTCTTTGTTGTTCTCCCAGAACACTTCCTTATTACATAGACCATCGTGTGTTTATCATGATAATTTATAATTATCCATTTATGCTTCACTCTCAACTGATTAAAAAACCCCTGGAGGACAGTGAGTGAATCTCACTAAATCTCCTGTCCATGTTTCCTAGGAGCCATCAGTACACGTGGAACATAGGAAACATGGTTAGTGCTTTTAAACGTGTTGAATCACATCTGGAAAAGAACGAAGACAGGTGAAATAAGATCTTTTACACAAAGAGGACACTAGCTATTATGTCAGGAAACAGTGGTCTGGGATTTGGTCATTGTATTTCTGGATCTCAGTTTCCCACTAGTTTTAGAAGAGAGTTGCATTGGGTGACTTTTTATTTTCTTCACCAAATGAAAACCTCTCCTTTAAGTAATGCTGAGGGCAAGGAAGGACGTAAGCACCCTGGCCACTCGCCCTAGCTTAAACACCCACCTAGGTTTCACAGTCATATAAAAATAATTTCCTGAATGTGGAGTGTCAGAAATGATTGCTGCAAAACACGCTCACGGTGTTGGCTGGTTTCATTGACAAAAGTGACTTCCCACGCCTGGCCCGCAGAGGGCATCCCTGCGCATTGATATGTAGACCAGGCGAATGCAGCTGCTGGAAGCCTCCTCCGTCCGCTCTTTTTTTTTCCCCTAAGCCTTCGTCTCTCTGCCCCCAACCCCCCTTCGCGTGGAATCTTTGCCTGATCCAGTTCGTTTCCCTCCGGTCTCCACATTTTCCCTTCCAGCCCTTCACTTCTCCGGATCAATGGATAGTACGGTTCCAACTCCCAGCTCACACACCGCTGGCGGACACCCCAGTAACAAGTGAGAGCGCTCCACCCCGCAGCCCCCCGCCTCTCCTCCCTTGGTCCCCTAGCTCTTGGAAGCAAAACGAACAGCATCACCAGCTCTCGCGCGGATTTTCCTCTTCAACTTGACCCAACCGACGACATGGAACCAGCCTCAACSTTTTAATGCCCAGCCCAGTCGCCGGATTGTTTGCCCTCTCCTCTGGGTCCCTCCTGGATGTTCTGTTTATTGATGACTTGCAAGCCCCGCCGAAAGCTATCTTCGCTTCTCTTGCTCCCTCCCTCTCCTTGAGTTACTTTACCCGGGCTGGGAATCTCTTGGACCGAATGGAACTTTTTGCTGCCTCTTTTTGCTGCTGATTCCCTCAGTGGACAAGGAAAAAGGCTTCGGAGGCAGAAGAGGCACAGGGGAGGTGGAGAAAGAGGTGGAGGAAGAGGACGAGGAGGAGGAGGAGGAGGAGGAGGAGGAGGAGGAAGCCGAAGGGGCTCGGCGCGTGTGTGTGCATGTGTACATGCGTGTGTGAGTGCATGTGTGTGAGTGCCGCCGCTGCCCAGGACCCCCGGCCCCGAAGGTGTTGGCTGAAATATGGAGAATAGTCTTGGATGTGTTTGGGTACCCAAGCTGGCTTTTGTACTCTTCGGAGCTTCCCTGCTCAGCGCGCATCTTCAAGTCACCGGTAAGAGGTTCTTTCCTTTCTTCTCGTCGCTCGCCCACCCTCTCACCCCTTTTCCCTTCTCATTTCATTTGGCGAGAGTGGAATTGGGGTGGAGGTAAAATAAAAAGATATTCGGCGCTYCCTCTGTTCCCCATTTCCGCGCAGATGATAAAAGACAGAAGACTTTCCCCCCCTCCTTGGGGGCGGAGGATGTTGGCGGCGGGGGCGAGGGGCGCCTCTTCGCTCTTTAAAAAAAAAAAAAAAATCTAGTGCTTCTCTCATCTTTGCTTTTGCAAATACTTGGCTTGGTTTGGAGAGCGGTCTGACTGGGACAGGTGATGGGGATGTCGTTGAAAGGAACTGTGTTGGATCCTTAAAGCCTTAGAAACCTGCGAAGGGGAAGGCGAATTGGAGAACCAGGAGCAGCGGAGGAGGAGGACATTGAGGGGTCTTTGAGGAAGTCTGTGCGGGATGTAGCTGGTGGGGTTGACTCATTTGTACGTGAATACATGCGCCTCCTGGTTTGGAATTTTGGACTTGATGATTGAAAATCGGAAAAGGGACAGCTAATATGTTTGGGTAATTTCGGAGGAGGGGACCTTGGTACCCAAGGAAGTGCAGAGTTGTCAGGAAGGAGGGAGGTACGTTTTAGGTTATTTTAATTTAAATTTTATTTTTAATGGTGAATGCAGTTCGCCAGCTAAGTYTCCAGATATCTCCAGGATACCTCCAAAACTCCGTATGATTGATATTCTGGGGAGCCAGCCCCTGGCCCTGGTACTTGGCAAACGCAGTTTCTAATTGAAAATGGCAAAACTGTTTGGCGACTGGATTTGAGCTAAAGCCGCAGAAAGAGGGATCGGAAGGCTGCTCCAGGCTGCTGCAGTCTTCGAATACAGACCTGGGGCCAAAAGAATTAAAAAAGCAAAGTGACACATTATAAGGTTCACTCGTTTTGCGKAACTTCACTACAAGTAGATGGGCGTTAGGGTACTGGGGGCAGGCCTAGTGGGGAGGAGAGCCGCCAGCTGAACATTCAAATCCCTTAGGAAACGACCTTTTCCCATATCCATAAGAAAAGAACGTGCAAGAAGGGACCAGGCTTTGGGTAGGAGCGCCCCAACCTGAGCCTTGAAAATTAACAGGGAAAAGGATCAAATGTGGACGGCCAAGTCCCCAGCCTCCCTGGAGTCCTAAGCTCCGTCTTTCTTGTGCCCGCTATGTGCTGCGTGGCCAAGGGTTGCGAACTGGAGCACAGAATGCGCCTCTTCACGGTCGCTAGGGATTGAGGCAGTCAAACGCCCAGCCAGCCCGAAGCTTCCCAAAGCCTGGCGCGGCCACACGCGGCAGGAATCCGTGTGCGTGCACGCGCACTCCATCCTCACCCTCGTTTGGCCAGAAAGAGCGAGCGTGAGTGTGTGTGTGTGTGTGTGTGTGTGTGTGTGTGTGTGTGTGTGTGTGTATGCGCACGCGCCTGTGGTGCGCGGGTACCCGCAGCCGCGCGCTCTTATGCCCATGATCCCTCCTCCCCCTCGGGCTGGTTCCCTCCTCCCGGGCTTCTCTCTCCCAGAGCTTTGTCCTCTGCAATTATTTCTAAGGAAGGTGGRCCAGGGAGCCCATCCTCACTGTAATAAATAGGTGTCTTTAAAAATTATCCTCCTCGCGACCCGCAGACGCTGCGGCGAAGCTTAGAACTCTGCCTCTGTACGGAAAATGGACTTGCGCTCTTTCTGGCAGGTTGGGAGGCCAGGGACAGCAGAGGGGAAGTTCAGAGGGGGTATCCCTTGCTAGGTAGGAAGTCTGCAGAACCAAAGGGGACTGAAGGTCTGAAATGCCCTGGCTGAATGTATTGCCTTGGTCAAGGTGTACAAAAATGGACAATGTCCATTACATGACAGTATTTTAAAGCCATTTCCCAAGTGACTTTGGTCTGGCAAAGGTTGGAGATAGATGAATGGTAATGGATTTAATATATGTTTTATTAATCTCTAAATTAATTGAATATCCCCCTCCCACTTAAGTTGCTTGTCTAGAGACTTGTCATCATTTATTACTACTTTATTTTTCTTTTTAAAAGTTTATCTTCTTAGATTAATTTGTGCCTGAAAAGCAGATGAAAATATACACATACAAGGGATATGCCCAGGGATAAGCTTGTCCATCTTTATCTTTAAACTTCTCTATGCTTCTAAATCCATTTCTGTTATAATTGCAAATGAATTGTGGTGGCCTTTGCCCAGATCCCAAGACACAGGATAGTGCACATTAGAGATATGGCTRTGTCAAATCACTCTGGTCATCTTTGCTCATTAATCTGAGTGTCACCTTTTTCTTAGTAGCAAAATCCACTCTTTGGGAACATGGTAGGAATTGGTGATAAAGAAAGCATAGTTCACACTAAGGAAGGACCAGTAGGAGGTGTCCTTAAAAAGGCCAAGCCTCCAGTTTACCAGTAGTGTAATTCCCATTCAGCAGAGTGTTTAAAAGACTTTGTTGATTGGTAACAAAGGATTACAGAGACTTGCACAAAGCATGGAACCCTTTCCACTTTCTAGGTAAAGTCTGAAGCTGCTGTGGATTTGTGCAAGATTATTGTGGCACAACTGAGGGCATTCCTGAACACTGTCAGCATAAGGTGAGAACTTGATGCTGAGGTAGGAGGACCATGGCTTTTAGCAGGCTCTTGTAAAATGCCATCTTCTATGTTTGGCATGAATCCCAGGCATAGGCATCAAGTAGAGTCTCAGAATCTCAGGTAAGATGGGAATTGTAGATGATAGATGTTAATGAATAAAATAGGAGGTATACCCATCAATTAATTAATTCTTCAAGTATGTTTGTATTATATTCTATTGAAATAGTTTGTAAGTTTATGTAGTCTGGACTAGATGAAGTAAGGCTTGCTGCTTGCCCCCATGTACCACCTTTTTACCCACCCAACCAAATCAGGTCACTTCCTCCATCTGGGTGTGCTGTTAAGTGGAGGGAGCATGGCAGGACCTGAGTGCCCCTGGGCAGGCCAGCAGTCCACTCCTCTGTTGAGTGCTGCAGTATAAATCACCAGTGACCTGTCACAGTATCCATTTCCCACACAGCAGCAGCTGCCCTCTGAGTTATGAAGCATGTGAAACAGCCACCACATGTGTTATGTGTGAATATATTAGGCTTAGTGCATTTGCTTTAATGCTCTTAAAAGCTGGGCTGGCTTGAACTGCTGATAGACATTTTTTTTTTTTCCTGGGAGAGATTTATAACTTCTCAGTGTGTCTGACTTACATTTATTCCCTGGCAAGTTAACCTCTCAGCAAACTTCCTTGTTTCCATTGAGAAAGAACAGCTTCAGTTCTAAATTCCTGAATGGACCTCTGCTGAAACTTCTTCCTAAAGTACATTTCTTTGCAGGCTGCAGTATGGTTTTCCAGGCCAGCAGGACATTTGACAAGAGTTTGGGGGRCATGATTTTTCTTTTTCTTTTTTTTTCTTTTATGGAGGGGGATATTTTTACTTATTTCTGGAGAAGGAAGAGATGATACTGCGCCTTCTAGGGGAATCCCAGCACTCCATTTGTTTGTTGAGCATTTTTTATGAGAGAAGTGCTTCTGCGTCCTGGCTTGCATCTCCTGGGTCTGGGATTCTTCAAATGCAAGAGTGGTTTGCTCCTGGGATGTTTCCAGGTGCACCAAGTCAGGTCATCTAATCTAGTGTGACCACTGTCCTTTGGAAACAAGCCCTGAGTTAAATCTCGACTTCCTGACCAAAACAATTTTAAGTTTCACCTCATGCTGCCTGTCTGAAGGCAGTGCTGAAGTTTCCAAACTGATGATCTCTTTCTGTGACAGAATGTGCCCTAAGATTACACTTAGCAAATATCCTTACTATAATTTTTTGGAGAATTGACCATTCTAAACTTCTTCCTCATGCTTTTTCCAGTCAGTATAATGATAAGAAAAGAAAGCAGTTGTTTGGGAGCAATGTCTTAAACTAAAACCAAGACACATATACACAAAGAAGTGATGATTTCTACCCCCAAGCTTTCTCCTATAAATGTTTAATTTTGGGGTTAATCGTGGTAGCCCTCACTGTGTAAAGACAGTTTTTTATTGCGTTAGTGACTGAGTTCTTGCCTGGCTAGAGCTCTCTCCAGTTTTCATAGTTCTGGCCCACCGTGTTGTCAGAAACTCACATCAAACTAGAATCACATTGCTCTCTTTGGATATTTGTTACACAACTACCAGCTCTAATGATAAATTTTTGATGGATTAATCTATCTCTGATGATAATCTCTTAGATGAACCATGTACATAAATTTCACGTGAATTTCAGGAAACCTTAGCATTGCTTGAGTAAAAAGAATAATGAGTTCAACCCGCTGAGGATTGCTTGATTAATTAACTAAAGATAAAAAGTCACTTGGTTCTGGAAAAATACTGTAATCCCTAAAGTGGAAGGGTAAGTACTGTGCACATTTACAATTCATAGGACGTAAACGGCATCTTCTTTTTCGTCTTCTCTCTCTCCTTGTTCCATTACAATGCTGCAGAAAAGGATTTAAGAGTTTTATGAGTTGTCACAATAGTTACACCTTAATGAATCCTAGCTTGGGATCTCAGTAACTTCTGATTGAAGCACACTGGATGAAATATCGACACAATGCCCAGTGAAACGTGCAGCGGTCTCCTGTGGCTGCTGCTTCTCCATACCTGCCCCTGAAGGACCATAGCTCCTCTCTAAGCTGTAAGCATCGGTACTGCCCCATAGGAGGCAGCCCAGGGAAGTCCTTCACACTGGCCACTATGTTTAACATGCTKTGGAACATTTTGCAAGGTAATAGGATTTTGCTGTGAAAACAAAATTTTAAATTTTTATGATGCCCCCCCCCCAACCCCCAGGGGAGAATTAAGCTACACTCTGAAAACAGCTAAGTCATACTGTTACCATAGTAGACTCAAACTTGTGGCCTTTCAGTGAGAATTATTGCAGTTCTAGAGCTCACCCATTTTAAGTAGAGACCGAAGTGAGTG